CCTCCCCCTCCCCTCCTCCCCCGCGCCGGATACCGGTCGCCTCACCGGCGCCTTTAATATGCCAACCACGTTTCATCACTTTTAGCGCGCCGCGCGCCGGAGATTATTTGCAGTCATCCAGATCAACAAAATATATTACGATGGAATCCAACTCAAGATGTGAAAGTTGAGCCCCCCCCCCCAAACCCTTTTCCCACCACCCGCGCCCGCAACGCCGCAGACTCATGACAATCATAAAGGCCGGGACCCGAATTAGCATGTTTCTGCAGAGTATCGGTGATGGAGCCATAACGGGCGGGGGATATAAGAATTGCAGGGCCATCCGTCCGCACCACATCCGGGGCAGTTAGTATGTGATCCCCCTCCCCGTCCGACGCCCAGGTATCCTGTCGGGAGTAAGGTGCGGGGAACGTGTTCGCTGCGCCCCTCGTAATGTACTGGCAACATTTCTCTCGCCGCCGTGACAAAACGTCTGGCAGAGGCTCGGCGAAAAATGTACTTTTAACAGGGTTGATACTCATGGATTACTACTGGATACATAAAACTTGGGCCAAAGAAACGTGCACACTCTGCAGAACGCGCGCGTTTAGGAGTAGTTGATGCGTGCACGAGAGGTTGATGTATAATTGCTGGTGGACAGAGTCGGGAAAGTCCGCACGCGGCCGGGCCGGGTCGGGCTTTGGGCTCTGGACGCTGTCCGTCAGCGGCAAGGACGTCGCGCGGCCTTCCAGTGTCGTGGGCTGTTGGCGCTTCGGCTCGGTGCAAGTCACCGTCAGCTACCTTTAAGTTGTCTGGAGATGCAATAATGCACTTTATGATGAAATTATTTAGTGGGGACCTTGCATCTCCGGCGACGTCTTTCCAAAACCATAGCTGCCACTCTAAATCGGATCTCGGACCCCTCCCGGAAGTTCCACGTCGCGTCCCCTGCGTCCGTCGAGGGCCGGCCTCGTTCCTTTCCAGGTCCCCTCCCTCACCACGCCCCATGGGGGGCGGAGACGGGCAGAAAATGTGTTTGGCGAAATGGGAATAACGTCGTGATGTCGGCGATACGATCGGAAATTCGCTCGCCAATTCGGGCAAATAAGCCGCCCGACCAGTCGGGGCGAGGCGAGCGCGGCGGGCGATGAGCTGCTAGTTGTTGTGGTGTTTTAATCGAAACACCTTATTCGCCCCGCCTTTAGGAGAGTGAGTTACAGCGGTGGGAATTGGATCGTGCGTAGAAGCAAATTGTTACGGACGCGTGCCAGCTATTGTGGTTTAGTTTTCGTTCCGTCGTTGGGTGCGTGTGTGCCGAGGTGCGTGCAAATCATGTACACGCCGCGGTCATCCACGATACCACTAATTACACATCCTTTGTTAAAATAGGAAAGAATTTCTAGGAAGAGTATGAGATTTCGGTACTGTATTTTATTGTCGTTTAGCAGATTTTGACGAACAGCTGACAACAATTATGCAAAGAAATAAAATCAGGCACACGTCGCCGTCTCGTCGAAAAGGAACGGCCCGAACACCTGCTCAAGTCGTTGCCTTTCTCCTGATTATTATTTTCGCTCCTAGTTCACAACGCTGCCCCGTGCCCCGTGTCCCCTGCTATCTCCGCATACACCTTCGTATAATGGCGAGTGTTCCGTTTCGGGAGGCATGGTTTTGGCTACAAGAAATATAAATCGTCGATTGAACTCTGCATTTATTAAAGCGACGACTTTACCACACAAAACGTTGTTTTTTTTTTTTTTGCCACGACTCTTAGCCAGACTGTTTTGTAAACAAACTTTGGATACCAAAATACGTACTGTTTTTGAGCTCCTCTGTACTTTTGAGAAGAGAAGCGTTCAAATTTGTGACCGCCCGTAATGGCCCCGAAAGCCCAGCGATGGACAATTTCTGAGATGTGTTCATATGATGTGCCCGACGGCGTCTGGGAGCTTGTCGTTGGCACGTAGGTACGTGTCGACCTGCTGCAGGTTGCAGGTACCACTTTACCTTCTATCCACTCCTCCTTTTCCCCCTCCTCCCCCTCCTCCTCCTCCCCCCTCCTCTCCCACCACCTCCTCCACCACCGTCTTCTTCACCTCCACCTCCTCCTCCATCACCTCCTCCTCCTCCTCCTCCTCCTCCTCCCCCCTCCTCTCCCACCACCTCCTCCACCACCGTCTTCTTCACCTCCACCTCCTCCTCCATCACCTCCCCCACCTCCACCCAACGCCGCCACCTCGGCGCCATAGAACGGAAGTCTGCCAAACGTTATATTTTCCCTGCACTAGGTCAAGGCGGTAACTTTCATCTTGACCTGTCTGCTGCTCCTGCTGCTTGCTCTCGTACGCGGAGGAAAATTTCTTAATAATCACATCTCTCGGGCGCTGTGCCTGCAGGAGCAGCAGCAGCAGCAGCAGCAGCAGCAGCAGCAGCAGCAGCACTTTCAATGTCCCCGCTCACCATTATTGATCACCGATTGGATATTCTTCACGCTACATGTGCTATGGTGTGAAACTATTCCTCTTGTGCCTGATTTTATGGTTCTTTTCAACATTACGAGCTGCCAAGAAAGCTCACAAATTTTTTCCCACATATGCGACTGTACAAGCAAAAGTAGTGCCCGTATCTGCTTAAAAGAGCGACTTTAACAATATTATTTCAGAATGCCTTTTTTGTTGCCATTCACTCTCGCCCCCCTCTTTTTCACCCCATTTTCTCCTTATCACAGAAACAAATAACATAACTCTCTCACACATTTCGTTTTGCGATCGATTCCCGTGTCGATAGCGATCCCTCTCCCTCGGTCCGCCGTGTCTCTGCCGCGTACGCTATAGACCCCGCCCGCCCGGCCCGTCTCTGCGAA